AAGAAACAAAACCCTTTTGTGAAACCGTAAAAGACTGAACTGTTTTAGTGAAATTATTTTGGACTATAAAAATCATAAAGGATCTTATAGAAAAATTTGGAAAATTAAGAACACTTCAACTATTTCATCCATGGGACAACATCTTACAGTTACTCTTTCTGCATCAAGCCTTTGTCTTTTAAAGTAAACTCTTTACCTGAAATTTAGCTAGAGCAAACACCAAGGATATAGGTTAGCATCTAAGAGATATACATACAAAAGAGGACCTAAGGTTCTGAACACAACCATGTCTAGAAGAAGCTTTGAATGAGTAATCGAACCAGCAGTAAGAAAGATTTTGTGTGATAACAATGAACAATACAGTTTAGTTAATTCTTGTGTGTTTTATATTTCCAGCTGGTGTTGAAATGGTTAATTATGGTCATGGTCAGTACTTCACCTCTTTCATTAGTATTGTTTTTCTTCCTATAACGATGCAGATGTCCCCCATTAAGTTTAAAATATAGTATGAGTTACACCAATATCTGAATTGCTAATTTTAACTGAAGTTCTTCTTAAAATTTTTCTACATTATATGATATTTTTTAAATATAAAAGCTCAGTTTTGAAATTAACACCATTGTAGTCTGGTCCCATATACTGGTAAGGCTGAAAACCATGTATCACATTTTACTGTGAACAGTAATACTTTTACTTAGATTAATCATATATATATGATTAATATTTATATATATATATAATATTATAAAATTATATATAATATATATGATATGTATATATATTTCCCATTGCAGGAAAAAGCAAGGTGGTACTTATAGCTTATTATCCATTGAATTTTTGTTTTATTCTGTTTTGCTTTTGTCCTTCCACTTCAAAGCATTCTAGTTTATGAGAGAGGTCAATTTCAAATTTGCTAATAATGTATACATCAGTAATACAATTTTAGGTGCTGGAAATACTTATAATGTGTCATTGCTCTGAGTAATATAAGCCACTTCTGCAGCAAACTCTAATTGCACCCATCATTTTGACAGACATCTGAAATGAATAACCGTCTAACTTGCCTTAGTAAGTATTTGATTATAAATGTAATTTATACATCTCTTTATGACTGTGAGTCATCTCCCCTCTTTTCCAGAGAAAATATCTTCCAAAATGTATTTTATGACATATTCTTTGAGGTTTGATGCTATAATTATTCCCTCTATTGCTGGTAGTGACAATTTATCTGTATTCCAGTATTACTAAACATGCTTTCATTGTCTTCTTTCTAAATCAGTGCTTCTCCTGGGCCCTCTAATACCCTATAACTATGTTTTATTGCTTCACTTTCTTATTGCTGATAAACACCTCCACATGTCTTGATATAAGTTTTATATTTCTTCTAAACAATTGTGAAGATATTTCCTTATTCTTACTTTTAATTTTTTCTTTCCTGTGTGTATATTGAATTTTGAACAATAGCAAAAGAAACAGAGAATCAATATTTTCTATAATACAGTTTATCCCTACACAATAGCACAAACTCTAAATGAAAGCATTTTTTAAAATTTCTCAAAAGTATAAAATAACAAAATCTATCTGTTGTCTCATCTCTATATCAATACTGTAAGCAAATTATACATTATCAACTTTATACAACTAGATTTCACTCAGAATACAGACACACAAGGAATATACACATTAATGTGTTGAGAAATAGAAAATGACATCTTTCTTTTATAATTTTTTTGATACTGAATTTCTCTGAGTATTCTGGTTGTCCTAGATCTCACTCTGTAGACCAGATTATCCTTGAACACAGAGATTGGCCTACCTCTGTCTCCCAAGTGTTAGGATAAAAGTGTTAGTATTTAAAGCATTCACCTAGGAGGGACATCTTTCTTGATACACCATTATTCCATTTTTCTTTCTTAATATAGAAGAGTATTTTAATAAAATATAGATTCTAAAAATTCCTATGGTTACATTTTTTCCAGTTTCATTGTAAATTTATATTCCTGCTTCATGTTAAACTTTTCTATCACTCTATCTTAATTTTTTTTGCAATTTTTAGTAGTATAGATTGCTTAAAATTTAAATAAAGTTTAACTGATAAATAAAAATTAAATTATATCCTAATGTCAAAACAGACATGGTTGAATAAATTTTGAAGATTCACAGAAAATAAATTTACAGTGAGCATAGGGTGTTAGGCATATAGCCACTGGAAGACATGGAAGTATAGACCCAGAACACAGCCAAACATGGGTAACTGGCACAGAGTAAGGCTAGTGGTAGGCTGACAGGCCTTCAGACAAACACTCTGGTAGGGTGGCAAAGATGCATGAAGGTTCAGGTCTCTGATCTCAAGAAAATGTTTCAATAGAAGCCAACAATGCTGTCTTCCAAAAATTATTACATAATAGATCATATTTATTTTGGGGGTCGTCAGACATCTGATGTCAGCCATTTTGTGCTGATTCATATATTTCAGATGTCTAGTGCCAGACATGTTTATCTGACACATATGGGATATCCATTATCAATGCCATATTTTATAAACCTTAAATGACTTGTATGGTGGTATAGGAGGTCCTTCTGTTTATGTGTTGTTTTCATTGGTTGAATAAAGAAACTGTCTTGGCCTTTTGATAGGGCAGAAGTTAGGTAGGCAGAGTAGACAGAACTGAATGCCAGAAAGAAGGGCAGAGTGGCAGATGCCATGGTTCTCCTGCCTGAGATGGACACTGGTTAGAATCTTGCTGGTAAACCACAGTCATGTGGCAATACACATTAATGAAGATGGGTTAAGCTCCATTAATATGCAAGAGTTAGCCAATAGGAAGTTAGAGCTAATGGATCAGACAGTGTTTAAATGAATACAGTTTCTGTGTGATTATTTTGGGTGTAAGCTATCTGGGTGGCCAGGACAGAATAAAGGGGCCCTCTCTCCCAACAGTATGGCCTTTTTTCTTACAGTAGAGAGATACCCCTTGGTATTGATAAAAGTACACATTTTTTTAAATGAGGACAAATGTGTTGTTCTAATTGAAGAGAGAATCATTATTAGTCAACTGTCACACAACTTAATAATTATATTTAAATAATTTCTTTAGAAATTATTTGATTATCTCATATTCAAACTTGGATATCATTGCCTCATTCAAGATGTCCTTTAGGAAGACATTCTAAGATGATACCACACTCTCAAAGGCTGGTTATTATAAAAATGAGAAAACCAGGGTCGAATTTTTTAGCTGTTTGATATAGGTAATTTAGAAATATAGTAAGAAACTCAATAATAATAATATCTGAAAAGATTTTGCTTAAACAAATGACAAATATAAGAAGAAAATATTCCAGGGGGTCACCGTTTTAGTACTATTAATATGCAGCTATCAGTTAGATTTTAGTCAATACATGGACAGATACAGAGAAATAAACAAGTTTACAGGTGTTTTTTGTTTATTTTGCTTTATTTTCTCTTTGTTTGTTTGTTTACTTGACTTGGCTTTGTTTTGTTTTTCCAACATAGCATTTTAATATATATTTTATTTATTTACTTAATTTGTTTACTTATTTTTGGATGCATGGCCTCATTCTGCAGCTCTGTTTGACCTTGAACTTGTTATATACATCAGCAGGCTGACTTCAGATTTTTAGAGGTCCACCTGTCTCTGTCACAGAAGCACTGGGATTAGAGGCATCCACCACTATGTCTCAATTAGCTATTTTGCATAGCTCAAGAACACCTGCCTAGGAATAGTACCATTGAAATTAGTTAGGTTCTATTGGCTTCTACATAAACTAACATTACCTAATAATGAGTACAAGAGCACAAGAGCAAATTACTTAATGCTGAGCTAAGATGATTTCTTGGTATAACAAAAGTCAACTAGTTTAGAATACTCATTATTATTGACATAATTTTTCTAGATACATCGTTTCACATCCAAACAACAAATGAATAAAAATAGTCTCAGAACAATATTTTATTTAGATTCATAGACAAAAGTACACTACTAAGTGTGAAATTAATATTTGTTTTTCCATTTTTGAAATGAAAATGCTAGGTTCTCTTGGGTAATGTTTGTTATAGTTTTGAGTACATCCAATAGAATCTGAGATGAATTTTAGAGAATATTGGTTACTAGGATCTGCTTTTGGAATTATTATCTATGGAAGAGAGGAGAAGCCAGTTTAGGGAAAAGATAGGATCTAGCTTCATCGAGGTATGAGGAGTCTCAAGGAATTTCAGAGGGAGCCCTGGAGCTAAAATGGACATGTCACAATTGCCTTAGGTTAAATCAACATCAAAATTATGACACATTTCTACACTAGCCTTAGACAGTATCCAATCATTTTTCCTGAGATGTTAACAACCGTCTGTTCACTTCTAAGAGCACCAACAATAAATTCATAAATGACTCCACCTACTTCTAGCTTAGGGAACCAATGAGCTGACTGAGATTGCCTATAGCAACATGAGGTACCCAACACAGCTATGTCACTGAGAATCCCAATATCAGTGACAGCTCATGAAACTCACATGCCTAGAGTGTCTGCACATACCAAAGACATCTGAACAGGCCAAAAATTCTTAAGAATCATAACCGATAGAAACCTAGGAGAAGGGCTTTGGCAATCCTGCATATGAGGATGAATATTATTACTTCTTCAGTTTTATGAGTCTCTCCTCTCTCTTACCAGGAAGTTGTGATTCAGTTGGGGGAAAGAGCTGCACAACAGGGAGTCAGTAGATGTAACTGGTAGTAAGGGAATGGGAGATTAGTCTGAAAAACTTATTGAGTCCATTGATTGCTTTTGGCCACTTCCAAAAGCTGGGGCAGCAAGTCTTTTACAGGATATGTACATGGATAAAGCTTCTACCAGCGCATGACAAAATTGCTAGACCAACAACATACAGCTAGAGCAATAATCTGCATTCAAACCAGCATGTGCATCTTCAAGGCCAGTTTTCTTCACCACTACAAATCCTTTTCTTCTCCCCTTTGCAGATATCTGACCTCCAGAAGGGAAGCATCTGCTCTTGCTCTGGCTGATGTCCTACTGGAAACACTGGACTCATCTTTCACTGTCCTGCACAGAGCACGCCTCAAGACAGTAGGCAGGTAATCATCCCCACGATGATGAATGTACTGGACTGCACTTTCAAAATTTTGACTTCAATTTAATAATGCTTCTAGTCATATTCATTTGTGTAATTATACAACGAAACACTTATTAAATACTGAGTGTTGGCTACTTGCAAACCCTGATTTGAGGAAGAACGAAGAGAAGAACAGCAGAGTAATGAGTCACAAGCATTTTACATTCACTTTCGTTACAAACTAATCACTGTTTCCTTATTTGTAAGCTTTGGGAAAATTAAGCCTCCAGATTTTGTGACTAGCTAGTTCACCTTTCAAAATTTATATATCTTTGACCTTCACTAGCATATTTAATGGCACCTGGGGCTTCTACCTCAAGTAAATTTGCTTCTCAGGTATTTTATACTATAAAGGTTAGGGTTGTTAATGTTAACTATGGTATTTTTTTCCCAGAATTTTGTTTATATGATTCATCACTCAAAACTTTCCCATAGGATTCACAGCTTGACTATCTGCTTGTAACCCTGGTTGACTATGATGCCTATCAGGTTTGGACTGCTGGTACTCATTGTAGGTCTGCCCTGAGACTATAGATATTTAGATGCACAGCAGTGAATGCCATGCTGTTACATGTATGGCTTTAAGACTGACCTTACTTGAATGAGTGAATGAAGAAAAAATAGCCTGGCATACATGAAAGCTGGGATTGTGAAGAATATGCACTGTGTTGCAGGTGCACTAACAGAAACTTGGGATATTATTAGATATAACTGAAAAACCTAGCAGATCTATTATATACAGTTGAACAAGGAGGTAGCATTGCAAATCTTTGTTAGGAGACTCTGTAGGTGAATTGTCTCAAGTTGCAGACACCTGGTAAGAGAAAACTGTGGTTGGTTGAGAATTTTACACAAACTGCCACCTTTTGTACTCAGAGCAGAGGGAGGCCTTGCTATTTCCCTAAGACTGAGCTGTGAAAGGCAGCACCAAAATATTTAATAAAATTATAACGATCAAAAGTCAAATATTCAGGCTGCAGGTGCAATTAGTTACTTGAAATCTTCAATTAAAGTTTAAAAAAATTCAGTTAATATAATGTGATCCAAAGGTGATGCTCTGAAAATCTGGCCTTGCTGGATGCTTGGGTAATTGTCACCTTGATGAATCTATTAACAGCACAATCTGTATTTATATTTAAATATTAAGAAATCAATTGTGTAGACACGTTGAGAAGTGCCAAGTGTTAATTAAGATTAGCTAGCATTATACCATTTCTGACTTTACTCTTTCTTTATACAATACAAACAGTAAAACATAAATATTTTGGGGATTGTTTTGATTCTAGTAGTAGCCAAGTCATGGAATTCTGAAGGGAAAAATGTTAGATTCATGAGAATGTTAATGCATATTTGATGTATGAATATAAGGTTTATTCCAGTTATGTGTCCCACTTCTTGAGCCTAACTAAGAGGTCATTTGTAACTCTGAAAGCTAAATTAATGAGAGAGATTCTGATCCTGGCATACAAACTGGAAAACAAACAAGAGCATTTGACTGTCTTCATTCTTCTTTGTATGGCAGATTAAGTCTTCCCTGTAACACAAATAATAAAAATCCAAAGATGTATATTGGGGTTCAAGCTGAAGATCAGAAAAGCAAAACAGCCAACCACTAGAGAGACCTTTTACCTCTACCAAATCTTCAGATGTAAAGGGTGTGATCCTATCTCCACGAATCCTCAAACTCCACACTCCAGTGAGTTCCTGTTTCATCCCCCTTTATATTCTTCTCTCTTCTCAGCCTTATTACTCCCCTCTCCACCTCCCTAGTGTTAGGATTAAAGGTGTGTGACTCCCAAACACTGGGATTAATGGTGTGAGCCACCACCACCTGGATCTGTTTCTGGATCGACCTTGTGTAGCCCAGGGTGGCCTTGAACTCACAGAGATCCTTCTGCCTCTGTCTCCTGAGTCCTGGGAGCAAAGGTGTGTGCCAACTCTCCCTGGTCCCTGGTGATTTAGCTTTGCTCTCTGATCCTTAAGCAAACTTTATTTATTAAAATACAAATAAAATATCACTACACATTCCTATTTTGCTCTCACCTTTGATCTTGTATTCTGTATCTTGCAGATGGAAAGTTATCTATTAAGAACAATGATTTATAACTTTAAATGATGTACTATCATCTCGTGAAAAGAAACAATTTAGATCTAGACAATTATAGTTTCCAAATAGTATTTTTTTGATTCTTACGGACAGGAAACTGAATTATAATCTACTTGCAGAATTTAGGATGTGTGCAAATAGATTCCACAGTAGATATAGCACTGAACATGGAACAAAACATTTGAAGTCCATTTTTAATCATATATTTTCTCTGAACTCTCTTCGGTTGAGTTCTGATTATTTTTGCTGCTCTGATTCTTTCCCATCTCCTTCAACTATTTAACATTTGTTTTGACAACTGTTTCGCCTTTTATTTCTGCCTCATTTTTGATAGATAATTTTGTATCACTGTGAGGATTATACGAAAAGAACTTCAAAAAATTTAAAATACTGCTCAGACTATAGTGAGTGTTCAATGACATGTATTTATTTTTTGTTCATTACTTCAGATCAATACTAATTTTTTGAAATTATTCACATGAATACAGTTGATTAAATTATGCATTTATATGATAATACATAAAGACAATCATTTTGACTTACAAGAAATGCTTAAAGTAAAATATAGATGTATTATATGCTTTTGAGAAAATGGAGATAATAATAGTATTTACACATGCATACCTATCTTGTCTCTCTTTTGTTAGATGAAGAGTACACCATCAGTCATGGAGTCCAGACTAAGAGATTCATCTTCAACTTAATACAGAATGTTTTGTGAGATACTAAAAAATCACAATACTGATACTATAAAAGTACTATATACTTGTCATCTTCTGCAGGAGTCTTTCTTCTGTGAATTCTTTCCTGCTTCCAAGCATTGCTTAGGGAGTCAGAAACTATGTCCTCCACTCACAGTTTGTATAGTCACCTATGAAACATTTAAATGAAATAATAGTGGCAGCTAAACTTTGGAAGAGGCCCCAGGTGAAAACTTCTGTAAATAGGTACCACATCTTGAACCAATATTATTGTTTCCTCATGTATTTTTTTTTAAGAAGGATGACTTCAGACCTCAAAATGATGGATGCTCATTCAGAACAATAGGAGAGAATCTGTCAAGATGAAATAAAGACCTGAAGAGAATCTCATTGAAGAGGACAAAGGTTTAATGTTTAAAAATCTAAAGTGTTACTTGAACGTTGAGAATCATACAGACAGTACTGATGGATAGTGTTGTCTCCATTGAATATTTAAGATTTTCTATTAGCTTACTGTAGATACTTAATGTATTTTTTCTATAAGCAGTGTGTTTATTTCACAGTAATATTGAATGGCAAAAATGATGCTGCTGATTTCTGTTTCAACCTGGTCAATTCTAAAATGTGTTAATAGTTGACTTGGCTGAGTTGGTAAAACATTTGGCATGGAAGCATGAACCTCTGAGTTTGATCTCTAGAAAACACATATACACACAAAAGTTATACTCTAACCTCAGCACTAGCAATAAGGAGATTAATGTGTTTCTAGGCTTCACTATTCACTTAGCTACCTACTTGTCTAGTTCTAGGCCAGTGACAGATCATGTGATTCTGTGTCCAGTACAAAACAAAACAAAACAAACAAAACAAAAAGCAAAAACATGCAGTTCCTGAGAAATCTGAGGAATGAAGCTCGGGGTTGTCTCCTAAAGCCCCACCCTCATGCACACAGAAGAGCTTGCACACATGTGCCCAAAATGTGCATACAAATACTTTGTTTAAAATATTTAAGCCTTTTAGAAAGGCAAGCAACTTATGAACCTGGGGAGTCATCTTATAGTTGTGTGAGAATTGTGGCACATTTCACTGGGGTTTCATACTAGATTTAATTCCAAAGACTTCTAATCCAGTTATCTTAACTAGAAAATGTGTATACAAAAATACAGTGATGGCAATCATGAAAATATTTGCTGCCAATAATTTATTTTGTTGCTTATTGTGGACCAGAATATGTGCATAATATGTAGCCTACTGATTATCAAATTCTTTTGCAATTTATTTCATTGTTGACATCATCTAAAGGATACTGAAACTTAAATATTACATTAATAAATTACCTGTAGTAATTTAATCTCAGTAACTTAAGCTTTACATATTTGAGTCTAAAGTATTAACTTTTAACAAGCTACAGTATGTTTATATATATATATATATTAATACAAAATAAATAGTTATACTTTCATGATGACCATGGTTATATATTTTAAAATTGGTATTAGATATACTGATTTCTTCTTCTTTTTATGTCATTGAGTCTTAAACATATTTTAAGTAACTACTATCTTAAATTTTATTTTGTCTTTATTTCTTCAACTATATTTAATATTAAGTTATTTCTGTTATTTTGTACTTACCTTCAAATTTCTTAGGATATCCTGTCCATTAATTTTGGCAAAGCACTTTCTTTTTTTTTTAAATTTATAAAAGTTTATGAATTTATAAAAGTTTCCATTTCCGCCCCTCCTCCCAACACCCTCCCACTCCCCCCACTCCCTCTCCTCCTCCCTCTCCATCCCTAAGAGCAGTCAGGGTTTCCTGCCCTGTGGGAAGATACTACTATTTATCTGTTTGAACCTTGAGCAATGATTCTTATAATCTTCATTTTATAGATTAAATTTTCTGATTTTCAGAATTTGACTATGTATCAAATAAAAAGTCTACCCCATATTCTTGTGACAGGAGCCAGAGAGATGTTAAAGCTCACACCAACTGAAAGAAAAGCTTAGAGGACGGAGGGAGGCTTACAACAATTCGCTACTCACAGCATAACAGAAGATGTAGCAACCACGAAATGCCTATGTGGAGTTGGTAACACTTCCCAAATACTTTCTACTCATTTATTAAGTTAACCAATAAAAAATTGTTCAGATTTTATATTATGCCCCACATTTCAACAATCACTATTTCTGTCATTAAGAAAAGTTAATAATCTGATTAAAACCCCCAACAGTCACAGCTTACTCCTTTAAAATGTTTACGTTTTTTGGAGGTAGCATCTTAGTCATATACATTATCTCTGTTGCACTGGTTTCTTCAAAACATTGATTCAAAAATTTAAGCTATTTCTAACAAAGCCGGGTAGTGGTAGCACACATCTTAATCCCAGCACTTGGGAGGCAGAGGCAGATAGATCTTTATGAGTCTGAGGCCAGTCTGGTCAACCAGAACTAGTTCCAGGACAGGCTCCGTAGTTAAAAAGAAACCCTCTCTGGAAAACCAACAACAACAACAACAAAAAGATATTTCTAACATTCAATCACATTCTCACCAAAGAAAATAGAAAGGAAAGAAAAGAAAAAGGAAACCTCGCATATTACCATGCTGTGAGAGAGAACTCTTTATGGAGAGATTTCCAAATCTTTTCTCACTTCCTTACACTGTCAGTCACAGGGTATGTCCTCTCAAAATAGATTTTAAGACAGTGACGCTTATCTTTGTAACACATGACAGAATCTTAAAAATTTACCAGCAGTCCAGAGGAATAGTATGGCCCCAACTCTGGCTTTGGTATTCTCGAGTTTAACAGCTGATAAACTCATTTAACTATTTTTAGAGTAAAACAGTTACTGGTTTTTTGAAGCATAATATTTGAATACAGGCAGAATCATAAGGAAATGTGAGAATTAGAGAAAGCATGGAAAATGCATACCTCAATGTTAGGAATCAAAAAGCAACTCAAAAAGCAATAACGAAAGTGTATTCTAATGTACCTTTTCTCAGCTAACAGGAATAGTACCTCCAAATCCCCTGAGTTTACAGTGTCTTGCCAGGGCATGGGCAAATAGTTGAAAATGATTAAAATCCATTGTATAAATATATAGAAATGTTAAATAATTAAAAAGTAAGAATAAAAAATTGAGATTTTCATCAACATCAAATATTCTTCTTTACGTCTCTCTGTGTATGATCTCTTCTCTGCTTGAAATGCCCTTCTCTATGTGATTATTAATGAAATTCTTCTACAGAATTTCGTCACACCTTTTGCCATAAGAATCTTTATATACTTTGTACCACTTCTTCGTGCAAGGTGCCTCATCTACTGTGCTGATTCTCTACAAATTAATTGCATATATGCTGAATACATGCAGCAAACTTCTACACTAGCTTAAGTTGTAAATTTTATCTAGATCCAAGTTTAAATGTCATTTCATTTTTAAGATATGTTCCCAAACGTAACTTCTCTTCTTGTGATTTTAAAGAATTTCGCCCACATAATCTTTCCATAAAATTTCTGGAATTAGAAGAAGGTAGAGGGAATGGGAGGAGGGGACAGGGTGGGAACTGGGATTAGTATGTAAGATGAAAAAAAAGATAGTTTGTCTTTGTTTTTGTTTTATTTTAAATAAAATAAAAAGAAATTAAAAATAAAATTCCTGGAATTAACAAATTAAAAGGAAAGCGTTTTTCAAGGTATTTGTTCAATGTATTTGTTATTTTTGCTATTATTTTCTTTATTTTTTTGAAACATGGTCTTCCTGCTTGGTCCAAGCAGGCTTCAAACTTAAGTTTCTTCTGTCACAACCTCATGAGTGCAGACTTTAGTGATGATGCCACCACCAACAGCTCATTGTACTACTTTTAAATTGTGAAGTGTCTATTTGAATAGTAACAATAACCATGAGGAATATTCAAATTAAATATATTAGATAACAGGAATTTTATTACATAGATAGTTATATGGTAGGCAAAAAATACAGGCTTGGAAGACAATAATCAACTGTTTGCTTGTCTGCGTTGCTTTTTTAAGTCTAAACTAGCTTTGAAATACTTTTTATTTCAGCTATTTTATGCAATAATAATACCTATATTATATTAATATTAAAGTGAAAGGTAGTTATGTGGTACCTAGCACATCCTGAAATTGAAAAGGCATGCTGTATTTTCCAGTTTTATAAAAATTCTTATACCTTTGACAATGATATATACATCAACCTCAGATTTATAGGAAACATAACCATTCAAACACACAGGAAAAGAATAAGATGATAATATTTTAATGGAATGTGTTAGTAAAAAAAAAAAAAGATGCTCATCTTTAACACCTGCAATGTCTACATAGCAAATTCAAGGACAGCAAAGACTACAAGTAAGACCTTATTTCACTAAAAACTAAACAAATAGATACATAAATAAATATTTTTATTGAGATAAACTATCTTTAGAAACAAAACATGTAAGTCAAAGTTTTCTTGAAAAAAATCATTTTAGTTATGCTAGTGGCAATATTTTTTATCAATTAAATCCATTCGTTTAATTTATATCCTCACTGCAGTTTCCCCTCCCTCTACTTCTCCCATTCCCTTCCCACAGATCGCCCCTGTGATCCACTCCTCCTCTGTTTTTGTTCTGAACTGGGCAGGCTTCAGATGGGTATCGACGAAGTGAAGCATGATATATCAAGGTGAGGTAGAACTAAGCTTTTTCCCTTTAATTAAGGCTGGGCAAGGCAACCCAGTATGAGGAATAGGTTCCTGGAAGCCAGACAAAGCATTAGGGACAGACCCTTCTTCCATCACTAAAGATAGATCAAACACAATTGTCAAGCATATGGAACATGTAGGTCCCATGCAGGCTCTCTGGCCATCTGTTCAGAGTCTGTGAGCTCCTGAGTCCAGGTCAGTTGTTTCCATGGGTTCCTTTGTGATGACATTCTCTGTCCTGGCTTGTACAATCTATCCTTTCTCCATCTCTTCAACAGAATTCCCCAATCTGGGCAAGGTGCTTGGCTGTGGATCTCTGCAACTGTTTCCATCGTTCATTGGATGAAGACTCTCTGATGACGGCTGGGGTAGTTACCAATCTGATTACAGAGGCCAGATCAGGCTACTTATTCTATACTCTACTATGTGGCAATAACTTTTTAATCATACTACTAATTTTTGGACTGCTTTTGGTAAGCCAAGTATGCTAACTTATTATGTTGGCACTGTAAATGTATATAAACTTTTCATTAGATGCAATATGTTTATACATATTATGACTCATGAGATATGTATTTGATGCATTTGCACCCTCTATTCTCATTAAATAATTCAATAGAAATACGAAGCTAAAAACACTAAGCAATTCATGGTGGAATTACTTCAAACTAGAAAATGTTATTGGAAGGAGCCAGAGTATCTAAAGTTAAAAGTGATTAATAAATAATACTGCTATGAGTAAGCAAGCAGGAATGGTAATTTGATTACTAAAAGTAGAACATGAAAGCTATATGGTCTAATAACATAGGTGTGCAGTATAACGTAAGCCACACTTCCAGTTTATAAACTTTAAAAGTAAAATGTAACTACAAAATTTATAATTTTTTAGAAGTCACATTTTAAAAGATAAAGGCAAAATTAACGTTAGTAACATGTTTTATTGTGCAATGTAAAATTATTATTTTATTCATAATCATTATTAAAATATTAATTAAACTTTTGAATGTTGGATTTGCACTAATTGTACATATTTGATAGTTAACATTTTAGGTTAGCGTAATGATTTTCTTAATTTTAATAATCGTGTCTGGAAAGAGTCATTTTGGATAAGACGTTATATATAATTATTCAAGAAAAACAGAAATGACTTTTGTCTTATAGCTTTTAGAAGTACTAACCTATCTTTTGGTATACAGAGAATTTAAGAAGGGTATGAATTATAGCACTTTCTATTTACCTTACCTTTTATTACATTGATTTTGGAGTCACACAAGTAGATACATATGTACTTGGGTACACCATGGAGGGTAAAGGACATTTGCAGAAGTTGCTTATTTTATTCTACTATGTTAGCCTTAGGGTTCAAATTCAGGTCATTAGTGATGACAGCAGACACAGTGACCCACTGAACCACCTCTGCAGTCCTGACTCTCTTTATATAAATTAAAATATTTCATTCTTTTGTATTTCTCAGTAACAAAATTTTACACTTTAGAGAAAGTAAAAACTGAGTTTGTAAACTCCAGTGACTCAGTGTGAATGACTTCATATAAAAATAGTAGTGAGCTTCAACCTCTGTTCTCTTCACATTCTGACCCTGTTGCTATGGAATTAATACATCTTTCCCATCCAGAGCTATTTCGTATGCAAAGTACACTGAACACTTTCATAGGGAATAATGAATAAATGACCTTTCTGGAACAAGTCAGTCAGGCAGCTTACCATTTTTCACAGGTCTGACAGTTTATATATGATGGATCCTCTGAGCTATAAAGCAGGAAAAAACATTAGAACATTATCAGAAAAGTGGCAACAATGAGCCTACACACAGCACACACTCAATGTGTTATTGTTTAATGTCATTGACATGATGCTTCTGTCAGTTAAATTGCAGATGGATTTCCTGAAACCATTTTCTTGGTATATATATATATATATATATATATATATATATATATATATATATATAATATTACTTATATAAAACATTGTGCTGTAATAAGAGAAAGATAATCCAGAGACACCGGAGAGAGGTTTCTGATGTTATCAAGAGTTTCCTTATTTACTTTTTCATTTTCAACAGATGCATAGATATGATCCTTTCTTTTATATAAAAATAAGGTTTTCATTGATATACTCTTAATATGGTTTTCCCTCCCACTCTCCTTTTTAGTTCTCCCCATATCCTCACCCATCCAACTCCATGTTTTTCCTATCTTCCTTGAAAACACAGACCATTTAAAAAAATAAAAATAAAACAAAGCAAACAGACACAGAGGAAGAAAAAAAAGACAAAGATAAAAGTACAAGACGCACACACCAGCTGTATAAATATAAAATCAGAAGTGATAATAGATGAGCAAAAGACAAGTGGATTTTTTCTTAAAAAAGTCCCCAAACTTGATAAAACAAAATACCTCCAAAAATACCATTTTGTGTTGTCCTGGCAATCTATTGGTAAGTCTTGGAACTCTACTAAATATAGTTTGTATATCCAGTGAGATTCCCTTGGACAAAGTAATGTTTCCTTTGTGAGTGGTTGTCAATTTGAGATAGCTTCTGGATTAGGGATGGAGGCTCCTGTGCACCTCCCCTCTCCATGCTAAACCACATCTGACTTGGACCTGCATAGGTTACTTTCATGCTTCCACAATCTGTAAGTTTCAATGTGTTTCAGTACCATTGTATCTGGAAGGAACCGTTTCTTTTTTCATCTTCCTTCACCCATGGTTCTTCAAACACTTTCTCCACCTCTTTTTTTTTATTTTTTTATTTTTATTTATTTATTAAAAATTTCCACCTCTTCCCCGTCTCCCTTTTCCCTCCCCCTCCCCACCTCCCCCTCTCTCTCTAGTCTTAAGAGCAGTCAGGGTTCCCTGCCCAGTGGGAAGTCCAAGGTCCTTCCCCATCCATACAGGTCTTTAAAGGTGAGCATCCAAACAAACCAGGCTCCCACAAAGTTAGTCCATGCAGTAGAATTAAATCCCAATGCCGTTGTTCTTGGTTTCTCAGTCAGCGTTCATTGCCAGCCACGTTCAGAGTGTCCATTTTGATCACATGCTCCATCACTTCCAGTCCAGCTGACCTTGGTGAGCTCTCATTAGATCAGTCCCACTGCCTCAGTGGGTGGTCGCACCCCTTGTGATCCTGACTTCCTTGCTCACGTTCTCCCTCCTTCTACTCCTCATTTGGACCTAGGGAGATAAGTCCAGTGCTCCAATGTGGGACTCTGTTTCCATCCATCCATCGCCAGATGAAGGTTCTATGGTGATATGCAAAATATTCATCAGTATGGTTATGGGACGAGGCCAGTTCATGCACCCGCTCCTCTGCTGCCCAGGGAACAATCTGCAAATCTCTCCTTGGACCTGGGACCCCCTCTAGAATCAAGCCTCTTACAAACTCTAAAATGGCTCCCTTAGTTGAGATATTTACTTCCCTGCTCCCATATTCATCCTTCCTCCATCCCACCTATTCCATTCCCCCAAACTAATCTCCACCTCTTTTGCATAGTTCCCTGAGCCCTGAAGGGAGGGCTTTGATGGAGACATCCCATTTAAAATTGAGTGTTATGAGGTCTCTCACTTTCTGCACATTATCCAACTGTAGGTTTCTGTGTTAATTCCTTTCCACTGTAGGAGCAAAGTTCTCTGACAATGGTCGAGTGAGACATTGACCTACGGGTACAGCAGAATGTCATGAGAAGCCATTTTATTGTGTTCTTTTAGCAGAAGAAAATATTTTGTTTTCTCCTAGTTCCATGAACTCTCTAGTCTCAGGTTCTTGGCAACTTGAGCAGGAGCAGACATGAGTTTGATCTCATGGAGTGGGCCTTACATGTAAGCAGATAGTGGTTGTTTACTCCCACACTATTGTGCCACTGTCGCATCAGTGTAACAAGCAGAAGGATCAATATTGTACATCTAAAGGTCTTTAGTGGTGTGGTGTTTAACTCTGGTAAATATAGAGTACTTTACAGCACCGTAACTCTAGTTCGTTTCTCAAGGCCCACTTACCAATATCTGTCTGTCTGTCTGTCTGTCTGTCTGTCCACCCTTGTATTAAGGCATGGGACAGACCTAGGCCCTCTGCATATATGTGACAGCTTCTTTTTGGCACTACTAAACAGTACCAGGGACTGTCTTTGACTCTTTTGCTGTCTTTTGTGACCCTATTCTTTTCATGGAGTTGCCTTGCCCAGCCTTAATACAAGGCGTAGTACTGAATCTTACTACCCCTTGGTATGCCATGTTTTGTTGATATTCATGGCAGGCCTGTCCTTTTCTGAATAAAAACCAGAGGAGAAGTGGATTGGGGCGGGGGTCAGAGGGGGTGGTCAAAAGGAAGGACTGAGAGAAGAAGAGAAAAGGGAAACTGAGGGCTGGAGAGATGGCTCAGAGGTTAAGAGGACTGCCTGCTCTTCCAAAGGTCCTTAGTTTAATTCCCAGCAACCACATGGTGACTCACAACCATCTATAATGAAATCTGATGCCCTCTTCTGGCCTGCAGGCATACATGCAGACAGAGTACTGAGAATACTGTATACATAATAAATAAAATGTTGAAAAAAAAGAAAAGGTAAACTGCGATTGGGGTGTAAAATAAATAAATCAATAATACAGAGTAATATAATGCTTATTCGTTATAATTTTATTCTCTTGGAATTTCTGTCTGTTTTCCTTACCACATTTCATTCTGCTTGTGTTAGGCCGTTGCTCATTACTGCTTGTAGTCTAGTTTTAAAATCTACCTAGAGAAATCTTTGGTAAGACGTTAAGCTGATCTGATACACATGAAACTATAAGCCTTGCATATTGGTACAAACTTTGAGTCCAACATTTGTAAGGTAGAGACAGTAATTTTTTTTTTTTGAGTTTAAGGCCACCTGGTCTACATAATCCATTCCAGGCCCGTCAGGACTCCATAATGAGACCCTATCTCAAATAAGAACAAGCAAAATAAATATAAAAACAAAATAAAATCTATGTATGGTGTTTAAATGTAAGCACAGAAATACATTTATGGGTAAGACCAGTAAAACTCAGCTTTATAAAATTTATATCAAGATTTTTAAAATTAAATATTTATGCATTTCATTAAAAGAGAACTAATAGCAACAGACAAGTGGCAATAGTGCAGATATGTATTTGAAATTTTGAGTGAAGTTAATCAAAATGATTTTTTACCTATTTTTCCCACATCTACAGGAAATAATTTTCACTATGTCTACCCAGTGTTCAAAAGACTAAATTGAGGGTATCTAATCTTACGTTCAGACTGCAGACGTGTGACTGCTGAGGTCTTGGAAATCCATGTTTTCTATGCAGAACTTGTAGCTATTAACACAGAGTGTGTCTTCATCCATTATAGGTTGGAAAGCAAAATACAGTTACAAATATTTTTCAAAAATAGAAACAGATGTCAAACCAACCTACTTTATTTCACATCCAAAACATGGGGGTATGCTGCAAATATAGTGATAATGTATAATGTTTTATATGTATTAATTAGTTTCTTAATGACTCTAAATATTTAGGGTTTCTATTTCTGATGATACAATCTTCATTATTCTCAAGAGCTATTTTAATTTAGACAGATGATTAAATAGAATCAGCTCATTATAGTCTTTTTTTTTGCTAGTTGTCTTGGGAACAACTTGAGTACTTTGTTTTTCCTTTGCAAATGAAAAAATAAAGTATTTTTGAATAATGTACCATTTGGAAGACACCATAAACTGCTAATTGTTTATGCATGGGTATGTGAGGTTAGAGAGAGGTGATTGATAGGTATTTCTGCAAAAAGTAGATTTCATTATTGAGAATCACCTGAACTTCTATTCTATTGTTTTGACTACTAATAACAGATTTTCATACTGGTATTTATAAATGTCACAT